TAATTGTTAAAATCCAACTTCCTAATTAATTTTAGTAGATCGACTTTGTTTATTAACACATTCACTGTCTACTACGAGATATTTCGTAGGTTCAAATTGATTGTAATTGCTCGAGGGAATAAGTTTTTCAGTTCATAAGTTCCCAAGCTTCCAAGCTTCCCAGCTCCCAAGTCTCCATGCATCTAAACTTCCGAACTTCCAAGCTTCCAAGATTTCCAACTTCCAAGCTTCCAAGACTCCAAGTTTCCAAGCTTCCAAAATTTCAAACTTCCAAGCTTCGAAACTTCCAAGCTCCAAAGTCCCCAAGCCTCCAAGTTTTCAAGTTCCCAAGTTTACAACCTTTCCTAAGCTTCTAAGTTCCTAAATTCCAAATTTCCAAGTTTCCAAATTTATTCAAATTGATAAATTTTAGTGTAACTGCACCGTTTCTAATGACATTTAACTATTTAACGCTTTTTACGGAATCTCTAGATAAAAATCTTATCTAAGAAGGGCGAGGGGAGGTCCGAGAAATCCTATCTCTTCTTAGATGAGGGTTGAGTGAAAAATGACGAGAATTATCGTTGCGTAATTAATGAACGGTTCCTAACTTGCAAAATTAGAAATAAAGTCGACCTGACTACCCCCATTAGATATCCACGCATCATGTTAACCACGAAAGGCTTTCTCTCCCTTCTCGTGCTCTCAGCGACGCCTTAAGACTAATTCGAGCTGTCCGCGCCTAATAGAGACGGACGATACCATATGCAATGAGGAATACACGTAATCGGGGAAAAGTAACGATGTTTAATCGCCCTCGCTTCAGGAATACGAATCATCAATTTCTTACCGCGGAGGGCTACTAGGCCGATGTGTCTTCCATAACGACAAATAATGTTCCACTATCGATCACGACTTGGTCAGGTTTTACAGCCCTTTCAAGCATACACGTTCCACACTGGACGATACGAGGAGTCTAATGAACTCGACGACGCGCGGCTCTATCACTCTTTCCGCCTTCTTTTTCTCGCGGCTGCTGCAAAAATTCGCGCCATCATGCAGATTTATGCCCGCAAAACGCAAACTTTATCCGCGAAAAGAACTGCTCGGGATCGTTACCCGCCGCAAGAACGTTATTAAATGGCCAACCGATCTTTCCGACGCATTTTAACGCAAAGTTATGGCAAACATCCACCGCCGTTTCTTTCATGGGACGAGCAATATTTCACGATCCTTCTACCTTAAAATAACGACATTTTTTTTTTTTTTTTTCAAGAAAGTTGACCTAGAGTGTCTGACTTAAACTCGGAAGTTCGACGTTAAAAATAGCGAATAGGTAGAAGTAACAGTTCGAGATATAGAGACATATGAAACAGATTTTAGAACTAAGTGGATTGAAATCACTTTTAATCTTGGAAATGATCTATTATAGGTGATTATCGAAAGTCTTGAGTGTGGATAATAATTGCCATGAACAGAGAACGAAGTCAAAGCAATATATTAATTCAATACAAAAATTTCCATATCTATCACAGCAATAGAAAATAAGATAGAGTACTTATTCTCGAACCTATTTTCAGAACAGACATAACGAGTGTATACCTTATCAAACTAATACAAAAATCAAACGATTCTCTGGATAATAGATCATTAATTATAAATATATAATATAGGGTGCCCCAGAATTAATGTAAGAACCGGAAATGGAGGGTAGCTGAGATGATTCTGAACAATAATTTCCTTTGCGATATCGCGTACCACATAACAAGAGTAAAATACGAAGAAGGCTTGATACAATTAAAATATATTCCTTCTAGCGATAATGTAGCAGATATATTTACTGAGGCGTTACCACACAATGTAATAAGTGTTCACGTAGAAAAATTAAGATTATATTATTATAGAATGTAAAAGATTCAAATGTGCTCTAAAAGTGGGTGATTGATGGGTGTTTAGCCCACATTTGAATCACGCGCGACCGTACACGCGATCTTCTTTCCACTTCTACTTCTTGTGTTATATACGATTAGTTCGTTTCTCAGTTCCTTCTTTTCTATTATCATTCAAACATTATAAGTAGTATTTAAATTTATATGTGTCCATATATATTTAATAAATATATTTAATCATAACCCAACAGTTAATCCACGTCCTCAAATAATTAACAGGTATATTTATGGGGAGTAATTGGAAGAAAATAAAAATGTGAAAAGTGCTGAGGTACAGGAGAAATAAATAAATATGTTATATAAAGATGTGCCACGTGTCTACGGAGACCAAAAGCACAGAACACAGTGTGTCATTTTTAAACCGACTTATTGTTAGATGAAACAAGGTGCTCAAACGAGATATCAATGGTGAAACGGTTTGCGGTGGTCGACATCCATTCTTTATGAACAGGTAATCGCGTCGTTATTAATATTCATATCCAATATATGAGGTATGTGTATCACGGGTGTCTGTTATATCCTGCACGCCATACTTCCATAAAGGGATTACGTAAACAATAATATTTACAGGTTTCTCGATCGCTGCAGACCAAAGAAAACATATCGCGTGGTGATTTCGTTCATTTTATCTTCTTTCAACGAAAATTTCTTCTCTCTAAATTATAAATTAATTTACATAATTGTTGGTCGTGAGCGTAACCATTTGTGCTTATTTTCTAACGTAACAATAACGGTAACAAAATTAAATGAAATCTTCACTCTGTATTAATCATTAATTCATTTTCCTCGCAACTTCGGTACATATTCATTATTTTCAATTCTTTTACATTTATTACCAAGCCACTATCCTCATCTTTTATTTCCAATTCATACAGTGGGTGTATTTGTACACCGATCAATTCCCCAAAAAACTTTTGTGTGATGAAATTAACAAAAAAATGCGAAAAGTGTGTAAAAGTATAGAAGCAATAAGTATTTGTACGATTCTTATGACGAACCATTTACAGTAGAGTTCGTAACGTAAACACATTAGTTTATCGCTCCCTACGAATTAGAAAACATCAAATTTCCAGTAAAGTCCTTTTGAGAAAGGTTCTAATAGAGGAATGGAAACAGAACCCACTTCGAATAACTAATAATTTAGTTAATTTAATGCTTAGTCGAGTTACAATAGTTATAAAATCAAAAGGAAATCCCACGAAGGAAGTATTATATGCTTATAAATTAATCTAAATTTCTTTTTTTTTAATGAAGTTTAAAAAATTAAACAGTTGTGCGAATTGCTTCAACATTTCTATCGATTAATTGTTTTTTTTTTTCTTGTTAATTTCGCAACTTACATAAATAGCTATTTCGTTTTTTTTGTACACTATCTATTCTAGAGATTTCCGAGAATATGTAGAATGTCATTGTTTATAAAAAACTAAGTCAAAAAATTACAATTTTACATAGTTCTTTTGGAAATTGATCGGTGTACGAATACTTTCTACACCCACTGTATAATAAAAACTCGTGTAAGTCCAACAAAACCTTAACCTATATCTGCAGCGTTGAACAAGAGTGATCCGAACCGTCCACCTGGCACCGTGACCCAGAGATACTCGTGAGGTGATACTTTCTTTCGGGAACATTATTTAGTGGAAAGTACTTATTCACGAGTTGCAGTAAACCGGCCATTATAACTCTCGGGGGGCAAATAACCGCAGAGTTTACCCCCGCCATATCGCTCGTTTTCATAAATCGAGCCACGAGATCTCTCCTCCTTGGACAAAGGTACGACGAATGTTACTCGCGAGATAGACTATATCAGTCGCGGTTGGGGGAGGGAAGAGACTTGATAATGAGCTCAAGAAGATACGAAGGTATCGTAGAATAAATCCCTGGCTTGGAATGAATGATAAATACGCGGGGGGGGAGGGAGGGAGGGAGGGGTGTGTGTGTGTGTGTGTGTGTGTGGGTGGGTGTCAGGAGGAGAGAAACGATGCTTGAGGAACACCGCCACAGCGGTGTTATCGAGGTCGTTGAATATGAGAACACAGGAGGAACTAACCAGGGAGAAATATAATACACAGAGCTGTTCTCTTGACCCTGGTGCACAACGACGCTTAACGAGCTGAAAACCATTCCGACGATCTTCCGTGAAACGCTCCATTTGTATTCTACTTTTTCCCCCAAACAGGGTGAAAGACGAGATTTACACCGCTGTGTAATTATGGTTACCTCCGACAGGACGGGAGTTAGACATTTAAATGACTCGAAAATTATCCACGCAGTAGAGAAGCAAAATATGTATGCGTGGATTGATGACATTCGATAACGTCGTTCACACGTTAGTATACAGGGTGTCCGAAAAGTCGGGGAGGAGCCGGAAATGGGGGGTAGCTGAGACGATTCTGAACAACAATTTCCTTTGCAAAAATGTCGGATGGGGCTTCGTTAAGGAGATATTAAGAGAAAACCCCGACCAATCAGAGCGCGCGTAGACCGTTCGAGCGGCCGCGGTAGCGAAAGCTATGCGCTGACGGCCGCGCTTGTACGCGAACAAGTGACTCGACGTCCATCGAAGGACATTGACGCTGCCGCCCATTTCCGGCTCCTCCCCGAGTTTTGGGACACCCTGTATAGCTACATAAGCAGTCGCCTATGGCGCCGCCTTTTGAGAGCGCGTACTTATTTGCGTTGCGTAAATGGAGCAATCGCAGAGTAATTGTCGCTAATTGTTACTGTATTTATGAAGGAAGGTTATGTCGATGTGTTCGGCGTTTTTCGGGTGCCTTCGTAACGCGTTCCGTGACTATTAAATTCCCTCAACCCTCAAGCCGAAACCACTACTAATCGAGATATCGAGTAACAAGATTCTCCGCAATTTCCTTTGCTATAATCAGTAAAATCAATCAAAAGAAGCCACATTGATTTCCATTCTCACTCCGGTACAATAGTTAAGCAATTACGCTGAAAGTTCCCCGACCAAGATTCTCGTAATTAGCCGTAGCGGAAGTACGACAGAATCGACGAAGGATTTATTAGCTGAAGCCTAGGGATAATCAATTTTTCCAATGTCCAAGTGCTCACCGTTTTGCAGCCGAAGTTCCAGTGCAGGCTCCTACGAAGCTTTCCAGACCGTCTCGACTCTGAAACAAAAACGAAAATAACCGATTAGTCCGACGGACTTGGTCGAGATTTTATCGAAATTATTTCTACGCTTTATCTCGACGAAGAATAAGTTTGTTCCCGTCCAGGGTGGCGCAACGCTGCCGACCGGATTAAAAATTCAAAGGTTGGTACGGATGGACTGCGGAGAAAGGCAGGGAGACCGAGAGAGAATTGAAAGAGAAATCGAACTTCTAAGTTCTAACTCGGTTGCGGCGTGGACGAAAAAGCACCCCTGACCTTCGTACACTCCGGAGACAATCACTCCTTCCCTCTTTCATCCCCAGGGATTCTTTGCCTTTCCCTCTCGACAAGAAGTTTCATTCGTCTCCCGCACTTCCAGCCTTTTTCCCTTCGGAACTGCCGAAGAAATGTATTACATCCGCCCCGTGTGATACTGTCTGAAGTCCACCCTTCTGCAGGGGTGCGATCTCCCACTGTTTGCCGTTCGATGTGTATTTATTATGAAACATCGAGAAACAACGGGTCGAATGTTTCTTTTGTTCTGTTCACACCATTTTCGCCACCCGAATTTTTAGGCTTCTTCAAGAATTTTTATCGAAACAATAACGAGATTTTATTCAGATTTTAGTACATTCATGTATTACAGAAGTAATCGACTAAAAAATTTTTATTTTCTTCATAAATAATGAATTTCTTAAAATATAAATGATTTTGCTTTGGACATGGTAACTCTAATCTAAACAGTGAAACAAAATTAGTTTCCTTAGTCCAAAAGCTACTGAGATACGTAGCCGTTTCTAAAATATTAGATGTTTAATAAAATAGTATTGTTCCGAAATAAAATATACAAATTTAGCTTAAAATTGCATAGAAAATACAAATGTTAATATAATTAAAAAATCATACGTATTTCATTCAAAAAACATGTGACGATTACGTAAAAAGAGAATCTAGTCGATTGATTGAAAATTGGCCAGAGTGTCCACCGATTTTGAACATGCTGTTGATTTTTAATTAACGGCATATCGTTTCTATAAATATATGGAGTACTTTCAACAAAAACAAATTCGATTTTTGAAACGACCAAAGTGCTGTAACGCCTAAATCTGTTTTCGAAAAGAGCTCATAAAAAAAAATTTTTAAGTTTTACATAAATATGCAAGAAATGTTTGTTTTAATCAAAAAAGAATTCTTTCAATTTCTTCACGAAATAATAAATCAAAGATATCTGAAATTGGTTGGTGATAATTATTGCGATAACAAAAATAGTAGCAAAGGTGATATCTGTATAACACCTTTAATATTTGAATGTTTATTAACTCGTTTGGATCCTCGTGAATGTATACAAATAAATTAGATAAAGAATACGTACCATAAGTAGACTGCAGATTTGTATGCATTTATGGGAAATTTGAATGTGCAAGAAACTACAAAATGCACACAGTATACAATAATATAAAAAAAATATTGAAAATAAAGATCATATTACAATCTGTGCAAAGTAAAATTAATTCCTATTTAGGTTTAATTTTTGTAGGTACGTTTGCAAAGATTTCATTTTCTATAGAGGTCCGCAGTATAATCACAAGCGTGAACAAAGTAGCACATACATATAAAGTACCAATCAGAACAGGAAGAAGGAAAGATAGGTGCTATCTGTAATACTAATTCAGTACGACGAGTAATGAAAGAGACATAGCTGCTAAGAGCATGTAAAATAATAAGTCTATTGTGAAACATGCTAGGAATACCTTATATAGCAAGCAATTTGTATTGTGGGCATAGGAAAATTAATTCATGATTACTAGACTGCGGATCTTTATGCAATTATAGGAAATTTGAATGTCCAAGACCCTACAGAATGCATACAAGAATATAAACAAAATTGAAAGTATAGTTAATGTTATAATATTTACAGAATAAAATAAATTCCTATTTAGCTTCAATTTATTGTAGGCACGTTCGCGAAGATTTTATTTTGCATAAAGATCCGCAGTCTAATGATTACAACGTGGCAATGACACAGTATTCCACACTGTCAATAAATGTCGCTACGATTATTATAATTCATATATATTTATGTACATGAATGTAGATGAACCCCGAGAACCCTGAAGTACGTGAAGAATATTTCTTTCTTTACGAATGAAAAATGTAAAGTGATTAAATCTTGTTACGTAGAGATGAGAATTTAACAAACGAGAAGACTTGCTATGTTTATTCAGTACTGTTGACGTTTTCGCATTAAAAAACAAAAGAATTCATACATTTACTTTTCCTAATATTCTGAAAACAATTCCAGATCCTATCACAATTCATCTTTGAAAAAAGGGAAATCAGGATTTTCTTTTAATTACTTGAGATATTTCCGCGTGCGAATCAAGACATTCAACTTACATCAACGAAACCAACGTCCTTGAGCTTTTTTTTCCAAGTTGACTAGAGCATACACCAAGCTAAAGTGCCAACTCCACCTTAATTGCGAAGATATAGGAACGAAAAATATTTTCCAAGGCGGTATACTGGGAGCAAATATCATTCAAGAACGGGTAAACGAAGGCAGGGACTCCCAACGAGTCCCAACATAACGAGAATCGACTATTATCGACAGCTGTCGATGATATCAAGATTCCCGAAGGCCTGGGAAGAGAATCGTCGATCCTGTATTACGGTGGTTGACATGAAGAGGTTTATTAAGCGACCCATTTTTCTCATCAGCATTGCATTTTCGTTCAACAGAAATAAAAAGAAAATTAACATTACAAATGAAAACATAATACAGGGTGTCCCAACCTAAGTGATGCGTACCTCTAACTCCAAAACTATCGGCCGAATGCAAAATTTCAAATATGGAAATTGCAAGGTAAAATGGGGATCACGTTTCAGCGAGAAGGAATTTTTAGTAACTTTGTTGTTTAACGAGATATGACGGTCAAGTTTCGTTTCTCGGAATTTCATGTATCTCAAACTTGAAACATCAATATCTCCAATATCTGAAATGTGCAAATATGTGCAGCTGATTTTTGCAGAAGTGTTAGATGATAGTACCAGCTTTCGAAATATTGCAATGAGAAAGTGTAGCTAAGTGTAGCTATATTTCAAGGTTGTTAGTATCATTTTCATGATCTATTAGGTTGTCCCAAAAGTTTCTTTCGCTTTATTAATAAATAATACATGCACAATAGTTTACGTTTTATGTTACATTACCGAATTGTGCACGATTCATTTTGCTCCATTACTGTTACAACATGAATATACACGAAATTAGATTGTCTATTTATATAAACACGACCACATAAAATAATTAAGTAAAAATCGCGAAAGAAACTTTCGCGACAACCTAATATTTTCAAAAAATTACTGTCGTCATATGGAAACTAAAATTGTACAGTTTCCAAATATGTAATGCATATATTTCGAAATATCCCCGGAAATGAAAGACACATAGCGAAACGTTTCTTGAAAATCTCTCAGAATCTAGTTAGAATACGAAAGGTCAACTTCAGGTCCATTTTCCTCATCTATTACATGAAATTATAAAAATCCGTTTGCAGTCTTAAATACTACAGTCAATTGGCTACCAGAATATAATAATAGATCCATGAAAATATAACTTTTATAATTTAGGGTTTTTTTTAGCCTTCCGACCACTGTGCGTCGTTACACTATCTGTCACACATCAGTGAGGACGCACCGGTGTGCCCGTACTCGTCAAAGGGTTAATATATGAATCTTATCGTAAGACTCCAATAAGTTACAATAATTGCTTCTTTTCCAACCTCTCCTGCATCGTCGACTCAATTAGAGAAATCGTTTTAAATTGTTTATCAAATTTCAACTAATGGGAAGTGGTTCGCTAGCGCAGTGTAACCGATAAAAATTAATTAGTCCCGCGACCTTATGAGCAAGGATAATCACGCAGTGCAGTTTTTATCGTCCCTACGCGTGCAGGAATACAAATCGCCACGGACGTCATCGTTGGCTCGCGAAGCGTGCAGCTTGATTCTTTGTTGCTCGATCCAACGAGATGTCGATCAACCCTTTCTGTCACATATCGCTTTTAATTAAAACGTGTCTGCCGTTGGAATAACGAATTCCGAGATGGCGGTGCCGGTAATGGCCACGCCATTACCCGCGGAAGGGTAGCCGCGCTTTTCCATGAAATCGCGTTTAATCGGGGAACATGACTGAAATGGCCGAGAGGTTACTAATTCTGAGTCTGTGTGCCCGAATCTGTTAGCTTTGTGCCGCCAATGGGCGCCGGAATTAATTTCGACACCTAATAAATGTCGAGTACACCTGTAACTCGTTAGAAGAGCAACAGTAAGCAAAATTAGTCGTTATACAAGGTGTCTACAGTGGATGTAGAAAGTATTCGTACACCGATCGATTTCCGAAGAAACTATGTAAAATTGTAATTTATTACCTTATTTTTTATAAACAATGGCATTCTACATATTCTCGGAAATCTCTACAATAGATAGATTACAAACAAAAATAGTTATTTATGTAAGTTGCGAAATTAATAAGAAAAAAACAATTAATCGATAGAAATATCGAAGCAATCAGTATTCCCACAACTGTTCAATTTATTAAACTTGATTAAAAAAAAAACCTAATATTTACACCATTTAATCCAACAATGAATAAGAATCCAACATAGAATACTTTCTATAGATTTTCGAGAACGTTTTAAGAAACGATCTCCCGTTTTTACGTTTCCGGAAGCGTTTCCGTCCGTGCGCTTGCATCTGAATTTTTCACACCTCGCACGTCTTCCATTACGTTTTCTATGAACAGTTCGCGCACGTGTCCGATTGTACACGACCCCGTAAAGTCTCCTTTACGCCTACGCGAATCCTCACGCCTCCGTCGCCAAACTGTCTCATAGCCGTGTGTACACCTTCTATTACGTTCCCGTGCGAATTTTCCTTACAACGAGTCGAGCCAATTCCCTTGCCGTCCTGCCACGCTATCGGGCGCGCAATTTTTCCCGTACAATTTACCCTGAAATTTT